TTTATTTATTTATTTTTATTTTTTTTGCTGAACCGGGATTGAACTCAGGCCCTTGTGCTTGCCAGGCAAGTGCTTATCATACTGAGCCATCTCCCCAGCCCTTAGAAGTGTGCCAGGCATGGTGGCGCATGCCTGTAATCCCAGCACTTGGAAGGCTGAGGCAGGAGCATTACCATGAATTCAAGGCTAGCCTAGATACACAGTGAGTCCAAGCCAGCCTGAGCTATATAGTGAGACCCTATCTCAAACAAGCAAGTAAACAAAAAACCCCACCAACAGGTAACTGTATATAAGACGCATCAGCTTTTTTGTTGTTTTGGGGTTTTTTTGGTTTATTTCTTGGGACAAGGTTTCACAATGTAGTGCAGGCTGCCCTCGAACTCATTGTGTTGCCCAGGCTGGCCTCGAGCTCATGGTAGTCCTGCCTCAGACTCCTGAGTGCTGCGATAACGGTGTGATGCCCAGCTCACGTGTGATGCTTTTAACCCAAGCAGGGTTCAAGACAGGCTCCTCCTCAGGAGTGCACAGCCGTTCCTTTTCCAGAACACGGTGAGCCGTGCTCCAAGCAGAAGGGCTTCTGACAGTCTCTTTTTCTAGGAGAAGGAGGACTTCATCCACTCCAGACTGCAAGCCCGAGGCCTGGGCCTGGGTACCGAATCAGGTCAGTGCGTTGCACACTCCTGGCTGTCCTGTCTGGGCCTGCACAGGAAGCGAGGCGGGGTGTCGAGTGGGGCTGGGGCTCCAGGCAGGCAGCGGGGCGCCCCTCCTGTCTCGTGCTGGTGTCCTCCCGGCATGCTCACCTCTGGGGCCTTGTCTACTTTGTTTGCCACTGCTTCTCGCCTCTGCTGGTATGACAGCCTCTCAGAGTTGGAGTCGCAGTGGATCTGTGACTCCCCGATGAGGTCCCAGGGCCTCCACAGCCCCTCCTGCACACACCGCGCCTCACCAGGTCACAAGCCTGAGCCACAGGGAGCCCGTGGCATCCTCCCTCTCTGCCTGCCAGGGTGACTTCTGTAGTATTCCTCAGCACCTCTACCACTCCTGTCCCTTAACCTTGGCTGGAATTAATTCTCTGCTGTTGCCAAGTTTTTTTGGTGTCCCAGTCTGATCTTTCCCCCCAGTATTGGCATTGTGCCCACAGCCTTCCCACTGAGCTACTCCTCAGCCCTTTAATTTTTATTTTGACAGAGAGACCTGTTCTGTGGTCTAGGCCGCAGTCCTCCTGCCTCAGCCTCCATGGTAGCCCGGGTGACAGGGTTGTGCCCTCGTGCGGGGCAGGCTTCCGACACGTAGTCGGGCCAGTGCCCTTTTCTTGGCGAGTCAAGCTCAGCGCACCTCTGTTAGCGGCTGCTCGCGGTGGGTTCTTAGGCCCCTGCTGCTGCAGAGCGATGGTCCCTCTGCCCCCAGCCCCAAGGCCTGGCCTGCGCCCTGCGTTCACTACGCCAGGGAGCCACACTGCCTCACACCCTTTGTCTCCCGTGCTGTCCCTTCTGCTTGTGCTTAGGAACATCTGGCTCTTTTGTCTTGGTGTTGCTGTTGGGTTCTCGTAACATTTTATACCAAATATTTTTTATTTTAATCAGATTCTATTGGTACATTTTTATTGGTATGTTTTATTTTTATT